CAAAAATTCTTGTTAGTCACATTTAGCCTTGCAAGATGCCACTAGATGGTGTTAGTATGTAGTTCACTTTCTTCTTACTCAAGCACTAAAATACTCAAACTGCCCCATGTTTTCATCACTTTGAAGGCCTCTTAAGTTTTAAGGTGTCATAAAGTAGGTTTGTTAGAGCAGATCATAAAAGCCATCCTCTGTCACTGCATGATTTATGATGAAATGTGCTTAAAGGTGACAATTGGGTGGTTGTCATTGAGTCTAGACATTTTTCTTCCCCACTGTCACCTTCCTTCTTTGTTCAGGTCAAGCATTTAGATTCTGGATACAGAGAGGTTGTCTTATGACTGAAACTAAGTTTTGCCAACATCCTATGAAATTAAGTAGATTAAAAAAAAATCCTGAAACCACATACATGGTAATTAAGTCAAATTTGGGGTTTTTTAATTCTCTATATGATACCAAGAAATCTTAAACGGGGGGAATAAGGAACAAGTGTTATCCATGTCCTGCTGCTGACATGTCCCTTGGTCCTATCATAGCAGGAGAGAAAGGCAAACTCTCAGGGGGCACATAATAAAGTCCAACAGGATTAAAGTAACCATACATATTGCAAAGTGGGTACTTCTGAGTGACTAAAAACGTGTAAGAGGAAACCAGTGGACTCCAAATGTGTGAACTCATTGAGGGTCAGCTCTGCCCGAGGTTTACAGACAGACTCTGAAGTGAGCCTGAGCTGAGGAGGATTCTTACTGTTCAGTGCTTGCAGTTCTTTTACAAAGTGTTTTGCTTTTCAGAGTTGTTTCAGGTAAACATTTTATTTTCTTCAAGTGATACAGCTGATGGTGATTGATTTGAAAAGCTGTGTATAGCTTTGGGGTTTACATGTCCCCTCCTCTGGGGAGGGTGGTAAATGCTATATCTGCCACTCACAGGGTTCTCAAGAACGTGATCACAAGGATTACCTGTTAGGAAAATAATATACATAGCTAGGTTTGGAGAGAGGTGTTTATAAGAGCATAAACTGATAGAGTAAGAAATTAAATAAAGGACAGAAGGATGGAAATAGGTAACTGAGCACTTCTTTTAGTAATTGTGTTATTATTTTGGGTATCTGAATGTGGTCTGTCAGTTTTGTGCTTTTAAGAGTTTTCTGTGGTTGACTACAAAATGTAGTTGAGAGTGAGGCAAGAGGCATTGTCCTGCTGACACTCATTCCAGTTCTTTGAGTCCAGACATGCATTTTCTGGATGCTCATGAGTGTTTCACATGCAGAGAAAAAAGAAGTTCTATGTTCTTTATTGTCTTTATACAATTCTGTATGTGTAAGAATTTCAGTGGCAAACTTCTAAATTGAAAAAGCTCAAAAGTAAATTCCTAATCAAAAGATTGTCTGCAGAATCCTGCTGTACCTAAGAGTGATTTCAAAGCACTCATTTCATAATGTTTAAGAAGGACATCATAATTGAAATGGGGTTGAAAGAGGGGCAGTAGTGATAGAATCTTTTTTTGACAAAAATTGTCTCACTTTGGAATGACCAGTCTTGGATGAAAAGTAAAGGTACAAAATCATATTTCAGCTTTAGTGTTAGGATTTTTTTTGTTGTTGTTTATTTTTGTTTGTTCTTGATTTGGTTTTTTTTAATACTACTCATGTGCTGCATGACCCAAGTAACTGGGATTTTTTGCTTTTTTAATAAACCAGGAAATATCATCCTACAGTCAGAATTGTAACACTGATAAAATATATCCTGTGTTACAAATAGGGACTTATGTAAAATTCTTGTGGCTCTGCAGATTCAGTTGCTCTTTTTTTCTTATTGTAGAATAAAGTTTGTATTTTGAGGGATTTGCACTTATTTCTTGTAGATACAAAGTTAATTTTAGGGACGAGTTTCTTGTAGTTCCACAGTACAGGTTTTAGATAAGATACTAATTTCTACACCATAAAATTTAGGATAAATACCTGCCTACTGATGACCCACTCAGGGACTGTGAAATAGATAGGGTTCAAAATTCATGGTTCATGTTTTCTTTTTTATCTAGGTTGGTTCAAATTTAAAAAATCTTGCTTTCATAATTTGATTTCTGGCATCTTACATGCAAGATTCTTCTTAGGGATATGCTTGATTAGGAATATTTAATGTGGGCTCTGGGAAAAAGAACATTTTATTGAATCCTTTTTCTCCTGTTTTTCTTTTCTCTTAATGCTTTTCAGCAGAGCTTAAGTGCTCGTGGAGCAGATGTTTAATATAGATATTCAATGTAGTTGTAAAAGGGGCTGAAATCAGATTTCACAGGTAGCTTACTGTAAATTGAGCACTGGATAATATTGAAATTGTGCATAGTAACACTTCTTAGTTGTCTGACTTTCCTGAGGAGGAAAGGGACATTTAACTGGTTTAAGGGAACCCTCCGTGATTCATCCTTATTCATTTTTAGCAGAACTCTGAGAATTTTAGCATTTCATCTGCAAGAAGTTAAGTAGAAAGAGAATACTGTTAGCCTAGAGCAGGCTGGAGCCCTGGGGGTTTCTGAACCCACCAGGAGGATTGGGCACTTCAGACGTTGAAAAAGACTCAAGTGTCCTCTTTGTTCCTCTGGAAGAGAAATGTGGCTCCTTAGGATGGAGGCTTTATCTTCTTACCGTATAAACATAAATAGACTTCTGCAGTCCACGCTTCCCATGTGCTTGTTTTTAATTGTAACTGAGCTTGGCACATTAAATGATCACTTCAGCTGTTCCTGTGGGAAGTTGCTGAACTTTATTGAAGAATGGAAGAGAGTCAGAAAAGAAAGTCACATCCAAACATCCTTTTTCTTAAAGAAAACTGGTAGAATGTCATGGAGCAAAATACTCCTTTTGTAATAACTTCCCTATATTAAATGGAGATGCTAGAATTTTTCAGGGCAAGTTTCTTCTTGCTTTCTTTTTTCCTATTCTTTCTCTTTAAGTTCTTCTGTTTATTTATGTATTTTTTTAAATACTGTTGACATTTTATAAGTGCCTTATTTGTTATAGGTAAGCATATTCCACCTCTCCTTTTTAATGAATATGCTCATGTAGGTACTTCCTATATTTTAAACAGTTAAAGTGAAAATGTTCTCCATTTTATTTTCCCAGTATAAATCCTTAGCATTGTATTTAATAGTCTTTTCATCGTTTTATCCATATCCCCTGTATAGTTGACTGCAGTAGTTACTTTAAAAAAAAAGTTTATAAGAAGTTCTCAGTTTCTTGAATCTTGCATAATATGGTACTGTTCTCCTGAGTATTTGAAATATACTTTAACCCTTAAAATTGGGATAAATACTGCTTGAGTAAAAAGAAAAAAAACCTCCTATTATTTGTGATGTGATGCATTACAAAACTGTTTCATAGTGCTTGTGCATGTTCCTGTTGGGGAAAGCAAAGTCATTACCATGTTCAGAAGATAATTATTCCATTTTGTTGAAAACTTATTAATGATACCTGGGAGGACTTGAATCTAGACGGATTTTTTTGGGGGAGTAGGATGTTATTTCATCTTACTGTGAAAGTCCTTTAAAACATAATTACAGAATGTGACTAAAATATGCTTAATTTTAACATTCTTCAACTCACATTGTTAGACTGAAGTCATATCCTTCAGTTTGTACCAGTTTCTTTGGGAGGGGGGTTGGAGGAGGAATTGCCTTCTTAAATTGTGAAAGATTAGATTTTTAAGTGATTTTCTTTGTCTGAGTTGCATGTAAGCATTTTAAATATATTGCACGTAAATAACGTGTGGTCAATGAATGTTCTTCTAAATTCATTTTTCTAATCTGGGCATCTAAAAAAATCACAGTTTAGAACATGAAAATGAGAAATTGGCCTCACTAGCATTTTGGTGGGGAGGGCACCTCATGGGTATGGATCAGGATGAGTCTGTTTACAGATAAAGGTTTGGAGTCTCCACAGACAGATGAGTGCAGAGGTTCTGTGTCTTTATTAGTGTGTTCTTATTTCATTTAAGCACAAGAACTTTTGTCAAGTTACAAAAATGAATCTGCAAGACAGGCATTGAAGGGTGATAACATTTATGGACATGATTTATCCATGGTGCTTACAGGAAAAGAACCTGCACCTCAAATAAAGTACACGTTGTTCTTACATTTAATCTGTTTGGTGCTTTTGGTTTTTCAGAGCTGGAGTTATCTTCTTTTGTTGTTTGGTTTCCACACATGGCATATTTTCCATTCTTAAATCTTAGGGAGCAAACACCTGGAAAATCAGTATCTTTGTGTCGCTGAGTGAATCTTTACTTAAAACGCTTCATTTTTGATGGTTCCTAGTGCCATGTTCTTAGAAAAAAGCAAAGCCTCTTTGTGTTCTAGTCCGAGGTGGCCCGGTAGCCCAAGGGCAAGATGAATCAACCAGAATTTTTAGTGAGGAAGAGAGATGCAGGAATAGTGATTGAAGAAATTGGTTGCTAAGTAGAGCTAATATTCTGTGGAACAGAACTGTTCTTAGAACTGATTTCCAGGTTAGTCTCGGCCCTGGCTTTTGAATAAAATGCAAGCTTTTATTTTTTTTTTTTTGCTTGCTTTTGTTTCACAGAATGAAAGGCCATGTGAAATTGATTTCTCTTTGTATGTCCCTCCTCACCAGTTCTTCAGAAATTACAGGGCATCAGGGAGTGTGGTAAATGAGCTACATGATTAAATTTTTAAATCTTACAATAGCTTTGTCCAGGATGAAAATCCCAAATTTTCGAATTATTTCTTTGTTATAGGTTTTCTTTAAAATATTGCTTGATTTACATTTGTAAGATTAATAATAAATATACTTTTGGGTTGACATTTCATAAAACAAAATTATAATCTTAAGGAATGCATTGCCCACAACAGTGTACTTATCATGGCAGTGTTACTTTTATTAAACCATTTATCATTTTAATGTTGTGTATTCCGACTCTTAAGGATTTCTATCTTTTTCTTCAAAGAAAACGAAACAAAACAAATTGAACATTCATTTTTCTTTCTTACAGCATTATCTGCATACCAGAGGTACTACAGTTTACAATCTGACTACTGGAAGGTCTGTATATACACTTATTTTTTTTTAAATGTGTTGCTGTAAATGTTCAAAATTTTAAAGTAGATTCTGTTCAATATTAGTTTGGAGTATCTACCTGCAATAACTTTCTGGCATATTAATTGATTCTTAATTGTACATGTTCACCTATATGTGCAATTCATTATAAATTTCAGTGAAAGTAAGTCTTCACATCATGTATTGAAAAGGCAGTTTAATTAAGCTGACAAATTCTAAATAATTGTTTTTTACCATCATTATCCATTTCTCCAGTGTTTTTTATGCAGCACAGATACTTGGATGTGTGTTTGGAGAGCAGCAGACCCTCTTGAAAGCTGCTGCGCAGGCGTTGGTCTGGGAATAGGAAAAATGTTCTCAGGTTGCTTTTTGTTTCCACAGACACCAAATTGTTGAAAGTCCTTTTCAGTGTTTGAAATAACCTTCTTACATCAGATATGAGCAGATCCTGTTAGTGTAGCTGTCTTGTCTGTAAGTACAGCTATCGTGACTTTAGATGAATAAAATGGAAAAAATCCTTAAAATGGCATTGTCAGAAAGAGTCAGCATTGGTACATTATCAAATGCAATAATTTGAAGCTCCTGACTGAGAGGGAGGTGCAGGAAAGCATGGAACACCTTAGATACTTGTGTGGTCTTCACAGCTGTTTTCTTTAGAAGTGTGGATAAATGCATCTTTCATATGGAGGGCTCATGAAGAGCTCTTGGCATCACATAGAGATGGCATTACAGAAACAACATTTTGTGTGTTCTTTGCATTTAGAGGGACTGCTACAATGCTCTGAAAAATGCTGTGGCAGCTTCTCCCATTTGGACACAGGATGGGGAGAAAGGCAGGGTAAATTAAGGGTGGATGAGTGAACTAGAATAAATGTTTTATAGCAGATGAAGGAGAGCTCCAGTTGGAGGATCCTAGGGAAATTTTTGGTATTGTCTTGTAAAGCCCCTGCTCCAGCAAAAGTTATACAAGCACCATATTTCACTGAGCCATTTTGGAATTGAAGGAGTTTTTCCAGAAGTAACTCCTGCAGTTTTAAAATTGCAGCAATAAAACCATGAATCAGTTCTCTTACATGCTCTTGGAGAGCTGCGTTAAAGATTGTTGCAAATAAGCATTGAAATCGATCAATTAAATAGAAATCAATTGTAATAGTTTGTGTTGTTCGTACTCTTTCACATTAAGCATGTCAAAATAGTTTATGACTGGAATCATTTTTCTGGTTTTTATTCCAATGGCTCATTATTAAAATAAGTGGTAGGTGATTACTAAGTTATTTTCCCTGCATTTTCAGAGTTCAGGGTGGAATGTAAATGATTATATAAATAGATATATATATTTCTATAGGTATAGGTTGTTTTCATATAGATAGATTTTATATAGGTTTCTATATATATATTTCTGTAGGCTCATAATATTATCTGCAGTTAAAATACATATATGTAAACTCTTGACTGTTCTGCAGTTTCATCTCAAGAGCACTGATGGCAATAAAATTTCTCTTCATATGCAGTGTGTGATGTTTTAATACACCTGTTTCTTGTATATATCTCCAGAATTTTACCATGCAAAGATTATTTTGAACAGTTCCAGTTGCAAACATGGGTGTTGTTTGCAGTTCACAAAAGAGCATTTAGAGTTCTACTAATTAAAAATCCAAACCAACAACAAGAAGAAACTAAAAAAACCCAGTAATTTTTCTCCAAGTTGGCATCCCCTGGGAAGGATCTCATTGTGAGCTTCCTTAAAAATTTGTAGCCCGAAGTGGTTCTTTTCCTATAATCTTAGGAGATTTTGCTGATTTTGATATTCACAAAAAAGAGCCTGAAACAGTCCAAAACCATTTTTCACCTGTTAACTTTTTTACTGAAAGTGGTTAAAATCACAGGTGGATCATATTTCATTTCATTAATGGATGATGATGATGAAGCTGTTCTGGAGTTGGCAGTGGGAAGCTGCCTGGATTGGGTCCAGAGAAAGACCTTCCCCTCCTCCCTCCAGTCGAGAGGATTTATTGTTTCTTGTCATCCCTAATGCCTTGTATCTGTAAGAAACCATTTAGTCAGGAATAACAAGTTTATGGTGTATTTTGGTCACACTTTCATGCTACTTTGTGATTTTTTTTCCCAAAGAGATACAGATGGCAAAAAACCCAGTCATATTACCCTTATTTTACTGTTGTGGAATTATTTTAAAGTTTTTAGTTTTTATAGGGCTGGATGTCATCAGTTAAGTTGTTGGAATTTGTGATGGTAAAGAAAGGAAGAGACAGAAGGGTGTGAAGGAAGGGTGATATTTGTGAGCTGTGAGGGGAGCTATGTGAGATATCTGGGAAACTGGAAAATGCTGAATCACATGAAGGTTGTTATATAAGGCAGATCTGAAGTCAGGAGCAGCTTGATAAACTTGGGCAGAATATCTGAAATTACAAACTGTCTTGCAGTGCAAATTTACATGGTTGAAATAAGTGTCCTCTGTGTGCTTTGTTTTTTTAAAGAGAGAACTTACAGAAGAACTGTCAGATTGCTTTGGGTGTAGTTTGGCCTCCTTTTTTAAACTGTTTTTGCTCTCTGCTACTTTGGATTTTTAGAGTTGCATGGGGTTGGTAATTGAGCATTATTTTCATGCATTGTTCATTTCATGATATACAGTCTGTATTTCCTTTCATGAAAAAAGCATTTTACATTTTTTTCCCCCATAGATTTTTCTGATGGTCTGAATTTTCATAGATTTTTCTGATGGTCTGGTCTGAAACAACCAGGTTGTTTTCTGTCAGAATTTGATGCATGGGTTGTTTTGTTGCTATTACAGTAAGCATTGTGTTGATTGTATGGAACAGAAAGAGAAGGAAAAAACACTTTAGAAAATACATTCTGGATATATATTCTAGTGACAGGAGTGAAGGTGGAAGGTTAGAAAGATGCTGTATTTTGCCATTTACCAGATCAATACTTCCTCTGTGCTGATGAGATATTATTTCCTTTCAAAGAACTACGTGTATGGATAGTTTTGAAGGTGTTGGGTTATATTATGCCACATAATCCTCAATAGACCATTTTTTTCTGTAATCTTTGGGTGCTCACAATGTAAAATGTCCTGCAAAATAGAGTTTCTGCAATTTTTGACTACAAAGGCACTGTGGTACCTTAACTCTGCATTTAAAAATATTATTTGACTTGAAATGTTGTGAAGTAAATATCTCAGCTTGGATAAAAGCCGATCTGACTTTCATTCTTGCATTCAAGTAGTTCTCTCAGTGTTTCTTCTTATGTGCCTAGGCTAAAATAAATCTCCCTTCTGTGCAATGTACTTCATTCTGATTTCTTTTTAAAACTCCCCTGTGTCAACATGTTGGGGGAGGTGAGGAGGACTGTGGGGGATGAACGGATACAAAGGGCAGTTCAGGAGAGGGAGACAACAGCGAGAACTGCAGTTTGTAGCTGTTGATGCTCCTGGGAGAATAAAGATATCAAGTGTAAATGTCTGCCATGATTATCAGCTTTGACATATTCTGAGGAGGCAGCATTAGAAGCTCAGGAAGGAGTAAGATATTCCTGATTTTATCCAAACATGATGGCAGATATCTGGCACCTGTAGGAAGTTATTTTAATCATCTCGTGGTTGTATTATAATGGACTTGATCATAGTGAACTCTTTTATGTAATACCTGAGTTTGAGTAGGGCTGTCCTACAGAAGTTCCATTGCATGAGTGAATTGAGTGTAAGTGTATAAAACATCTGGATCTGTTGCCGTTGTCCAGGGCAGGGGAGACCTAGAAACCCTGTTCCACAGATTTGGGGCTACAAGAGGCATCAGTGCTCGCTAGAGTGATTCCTGGGAGAGTTCCTGAGAGCAGAGCCTGGTTAGCCAGTATTGAGATTAGATCTGTGCTTAGGCATTGCACTGCTGCTGCAAACCTTGTCTGGTTTGATAATCTTGATTAAAGAGTGTTTGTGGCCTTTGCAGGCAGGTGAATGTTCAGTTAGGAATTGTGTGCCTGCAGTTGTAGCAACACAGAGTTTGATTAAATTAAAGTTTTGGTACAGCTATGTTAGGGAGCATCACATTCCTTCATGCTGATTCTCTGAAGTGTTTGAGCATCTATTGGGGATATCTCTGTGCTTGAGGAATGAACATGAAGATTTCTAGACACTGTTAAACCTAGGGGATTGTGGACCAAGTTATGAGGATCATGACAACAGCACTGCTGAAGTCCATTATTATGTGTTAATTCATCAAAGAATAGCACTCTCCTGGCTTAAGTTTTTTTTTATAAAAAACTGTGTTTTATCAGAGTAACAGAGGGCACACGGGTACTTGAACATTTCTATTCATATGTGAATAAATTGAAGGATTGACAGGGCACAGCATTTGGAAATATCTTAAAGTATTGGACGTTACTGTGAAAATTACTTACTTCTTTTTAAAGGAAGATTTTGTTGTGAAATAGGATGCTAGAACTTGGATTGAGGATGCCTGAGAAAGAAAAGGGACCTCAATTTATTCAGCTACACTCAACTGTAGTATCTCTTGATCAAGCAGTGCGTGGAGTGGATCAGTCAGAAAGTCTGAATGTTCCTTGAAATGTTTAAGGAACACTTAATTAGTGAGTTATATCCTCCAACATGAATTCAGATATAGAATTCTTGTTAGCTGTTGACTTTTGCTGGAAAGTTGCCTAGAAAGGAAAGTAAATCTGTCAGGAACTTGTTATCATTTTATGAAAATGGCCTTAATCGCCCTTCTTTTTAATAAAAATTTTATTTATGTGGACAAGGTGAAAGCATCAAAGAGGTTTGGTAAACCCCAGGAAGGGTTTTCAAATACCTAGTTCTGTGTTACAGTGGATTTTAAGAACATCTGAGTGCAAATGTGGTGCAAACTGAATTTACAGTTGCAAGGCTGTCCTGTAGAACACTGAATGGTACAGTTAAGAAAAAATAGAGAAATTGAAGAAGGGGAAGTAAATCCCATAATTTTGCAGCA